GTGAATCAGCAAGACGGTTACCTTTCGATGTGGCGTGACCTTTAGTCCATCTTAAGGTGACCACATTGATGATGGATACTTCAGTCAAAGCTTCGTGACAGTCTAGTACAAACCCTGAATAAATTTGTGGTCTCTTCAGGGTGAGTGGTGCTTGTCTTCTATTTGTATAGATGTGCATGTTCTTTCCAGTTATATTATTTTTGGTTATTTCTTTTGCTGCTATGATAATCCCCGTTAGCTTTGTTTGAACTACACTGTCCCTATTGTTCACAGCCCATTTTATGGTAAGGTTTAAGAATCTGGAGTATATTCCACATCCTGAGCTTTGTTTTGTTTTAGAACCGTCGGTGTAGATATGAATCCTACCTGCCACTTCCGGTTCTTCTATTTGTTCTATTATAACTTTATATGGCTTATGAAAGATATATTTCGGTGAGATGGAGTCCATGTTCGCTTGAAGCAGTGGGAGCACATGTCAATCAGTCTGTAATATTTTGCAATTTTTAAATTAATAAAGCTTTCTCCATTTTAAAAACAGATTAATTATAATAGCAAATTTTTTAGTCGGGCTCAAAATGGTGACTCAATGTTTTAGTATCGTCATATATATATAGATTTCCATGCTCTGAAGAAGTAATTGGAAACTTTTCGGTCTATTTTCGAATTTCATTTCTCTAAAGTGAACGAGCTCACATCATTGATCTATTATTTTATCCAGTAATACATTTGTAACTGGGTTACATTACCTTTCTGTGCATTCGTCTGTAAACCAATAGTTTTCCAGTTGTCAGATGCGACTTCACGCGACTGGAAACATGGCAAAAAGAATGAATCTTTATTACTCAGTTACTGTCATTTAACAAAATATTGATATATTCTCAAATATCCATTAGAATTTGAAGGAGGTTTACACACTTTAGCAATACAAAACTTGTATTTTGAATGATTTAGATTTGCAAAATGCTTTCGGCATATCTACAATAAATTGTGATAAAATGTAAGTAAAAATTACAGATAAAAAAATATTATTATTTAATTTTGACATATAAAGTAATTTTTTGTATTCGCAGCAAGTGCCAAGATGATCTACTTTATACAACCAGTTGCCTAAATTTGAACATTATGAAACTGGTTACAAAAAATTCATTAGCTCACCAGTTGCGGAAAGGAAAAAATAGACATTTTTTGATTTTAAAATCAATATATAAATTATTATTGAAAGTTTATATCACAGAAGGGAAGGTTTTCTATATAAAAATAGAATGTGTTAAGCAATAATGTTGTTTTGGTTTTTATTTTCCATTCTAAATCTGCACAAAATAATCAAGGCACAATAAACGACAAAATAATCCACTTTCTTAAAAACTAAATAACTTTAACCAGCAATATAAGCACACTACAACAAGTTAAGAATAATATGATTTTCTATTTGTCAATGAAATAAATGAAGGTATGCATATGCAACTAACAATACAAAAAAGTAATATTGGTTGCATAGATGTTAGTAATTTTTTTACGAAAACACAATTTCATAAATAATCTTGTCAAAATTACAAAAAAATATTGTAAATAACACGTTATGAAATTCCGTTTAATGTACCTCCTCCAGGGTTCGTATGGTGGCACTGCAACCTTAATGGCTTATTGTACAACTATTTAACTGCCCTACTCCTTCCCATATATAATAAGTTAAATATTCCATTATTTCTCTAAAGCGATATTTCTATGTTTCTACACTTCTGCTGATTTATCCATTTTTGCCTCCATTAGTTTCAAATTTGGTTCCATTGGCGAACTTACGAGAATAGAATATTAGTAATATAGTAATTGACAGCTATCCGCAAACTAGAACAAATTTAAAGAACAGAAGTCATGAAAACCACACCAACCAGAGGCATAGAAATCATTCTTAGTCTTACTTCCCTTGTTATTTAAATCAACAAGGTTGCTCTGATAACAGTGACACGACTCCGCACAATGAAACAGAACTTGATGTAAGATCTAGTGAGACGAGGCGTCGCTTTTGGCAGGAGGCGCTTGGTACGCTGCTTCTATAAACTCCATAAAAAGTTAGAGTGACGATTTTTTAAGTTCAAAACTTCTTAAAGACGAATTTTGCGTCGTTGGATATCCCCTGCTAAATATTGTAAATACAGTGGTAACTAGTGTACGAATTCCTTCAGATCAATTGAAGCTGTTCTTTAAAAGAAACAATATCCTGTACTCAGGACAGTCTGGTTTTCGTGATGGCCATTCATGTGAAACGCCATTGCAGTTTGCTTGTTTCAAGTGGAGGGAAGAAATTAATAAAGGAATAGTAGTTTTAAGTGTATTTGTGAATTTAAAGCGTGCCTTTGAAACAGTTGATCGAAAACTGCTACTCTATAAACTACAAAAATTTGGTATAAAATCAGAATCAATCAAATTATTCCACAACTACCTTCAAGACCGTTACCACCAAACAAAAATAATGGCTAATTCCGGCCGATGTAAGAGAAGCCCCTCTTGGCGACGTTATCAACTACATTAAATCTGGCTTACGAGCTTGGAAGTGTCTATCTACTTGGGAGGACGCACAATGGGCCTATTGAGGCCTAAGTGCCGTGGGTTAACTCACCCTCCACACGTTACAGATACAGATCAGTAACATAGTATATTTGATTAATGGTAACATTTCATTGATTTATTTTAAATTCAATTCCTAGACAATATAACTCAATTCTTTATGTTTTTCTGTTGATTTCTTAAATCTTTTCCAGAAAAATATTAACGAATATTAACTTGTTTAACCATTCAAGAAAACAGAACCTAATTTATATGAATTTTTCTAATCGCAGTAACAATTCAAAGTGTGATTGAAAAATAACGCCATCGTCCAACTCTACTTTTCTCTGAATTGACGTTGACGTTACTGTTTTTAAGAATTTACACGTAGGTAACTATTTATAAATGTTTTGTGAATACGAATGTTATTATAGCTCTCTTGAAAGTCGTTTACGACATAGTTGTATAATACAGATCTATTCCCGAACATTCTGAATATATCCGGGATATTCAGTTTAACTTTATCTACATCCTATGACGTATATGGTATTGACGACGGTTTATTGTTTCATCAAATACGTGACTACGTGAGCGACTTGCTGAACACGTATAGATACCTACTGAATACTCGTGTTGAGAGCCAGAGTTAGACATTTATTTACCTGTATTTCTATTTCTAAATGTCATATCAACTATTATTTTGTACAGCATATTCAGTTTCCATAGAAAAGAAACTCAAGTACAATGGACCTTATCTCACAATTTAAAAATTTACCGTTGCTTCTGTGTCTTAAACAATGTTTGTGAGTATCAAACATTACTAAAAATTGTCTTTAACCATATTTCTAGCAAATAAACAACATAATTATTAATAATAATGTTGTGAATCATAAAATTAAATACTATTAAGTCACATGGCTGGTTTATTTTCATAAATTAACCGATGCCACATACACAACATAACCACAACTATTGCAACATAACCTTAAAATGACCTTGTGACCCGAGATATTGTGACCCGTAAGAAAGTTTGTTTTTAATTATGAGTTTGCTCGTCCAAATAGATATTACACATGTAGATGTTTAGAAATTGTCTATTTTTTTTAATAATTTTCTATTTATATAAATTATACGACGAAATTTAACATGTTTACCTACAAAATGAAAAACAGTATAGCTAATACACATTTTAAACAACAACTGGCTTCTTTAGTGCTTTTAACCAATCAAAACGAAAAATATAAACAATCTTAATCTTTTATAAATTTAAGTATGTACTTTCCTATAACACTTTACTAAAAAAAAATAAAATATTTTCATTTTTCTAGCCGTCTATTATAAAAAATTGGAAAACAAACGAGTCCATCTTATCGTATTTTTTATTTGATCCATATTGAGTCCCCTTCTATAAACCACTGAGGAAGTTGCGTGTCTAGTACTATGAGTATTGAATATCTATATTTGTGTTAATTCTGCTGTCCTTTAATACTTATCATCTTATCCAGTGGCTTACAGATTGGGTGCAGACTTATTAGGTTTTTAAAAGTCAAAAGTAAAATCTCCATCCTTTCTTAATGATTTAGTTTTTTCTAAGTATTCAGTAAATAATTTAATTTCTTAAACTGGTTGTAAGGTAAATGTACCAATTATCGGCACTGTACCAATTATCGACACTAATTCTGTATAATTTCAAAAATAAGATTCCTGTCGCTACATAAACACATAAAAGTAGTTTCTGCGAACCTTTATTGACGCTACTACAGAACCGACCGACCGTCGGCCAAAGTCGGTAGTGGTAACTGTCAAAAATATATTGGTCAGTTCTAGCTAAGTTATAGAGAAAGAATAACATTCCAATATAAACACATAAACAATCAAAACAAAGTAAACGGCTATCAATTTAAAGCACTTACTTGAACAACCAATAGAAATATCTTCTAACCTTTTATTTAAACTTTAATCTTAATCATTTTTTCACCAACATTTCTTTTTTATTTTTACAAAATTCACTTTATAAATTTAATATCGAAGTGTACACTCACACACTAAAAAGCGTAATGAAGTATGGGTGATGTGATGGGACAGAAAATTGTTTTGTTTTCTTTAAAAATAGTGTATGCTTGCATAAAATGAAGCAACTACATGTGTACTCTATCAGGACAGGACCAGGAAGTATAATTAAAGAAATAGAAAACGCTTTGTAATAGAATGTCAAGTGTAACACCAACATAATTACTTTGTATCCTAATATCACTAACATGACGTGAAATAAAAATATAGAAAATGTAGGTACTTACAATAAATATTTTAATCACAAATTGCTAAAAAGCTTTATAAAACTAAAAAAGTTAGAAATGTTATGATTTTCATTCATTCATTTTAGAAAAATTATGAATCATAATTGTTTTTTTTTATATATATATACATATAAATACAAACATCTTCGTTTATTCTAGACCACTTAAAGGTTTTCCTAAAAAATGAATGCAAAACGTGGCAAAAGTATTTCGATTGTTCAAAAGGAATTGTTGGTGCGATTTATGGAAACAAATGAAGAGTTAAGAAATAAAAAATTCACGGCAAATACCACTTATCGCAAAGTGAAACTTTGGAAACAGCTAGCTGACGATTTGAATCGCAGAACGGGAGCCAAAAAAAATTGGCGACAGTGGCGAAAGGTAATATTATTCTTTTCTTTTTAATTAAATCCTAATTCGGCAGAATTTCTAGAAGGGCTTGCGAAGATATTTTAAAAGTGTGGAAGAAATAGAATTAATTTAGGATCTTCTCAAGTTTGCACTTTTCGTTTTAAATACAGTACGACAAAATTTAAGATGACAAGTCAGAATTAGATTTACACTGGCAAATTTAAAAATGGGAGAAATTATCTCAGTTATTGGCTGAACTTCGAAGCTGTTGTTTTAGTGATCTATTTATTTTCACTTGGGCAGTTTTGCCAAATTTATCTATTTTGAATTTTTTTCATCTCAATCTTGTCTTACTGTACTATTCTACTTTGCTCTACACTTTTCTTCTTCTATATCCAAACAAGCAAATTTTTATGTCATTTTTTAACATAAATAATATTTTTTTCTTTAATATTAATTATTGAGATCTTGTAGAGTTGGCACGATTTAAGAAGCAAATTAAAATGCAGGCAGGCACAGCTTCATAGACAAAAAACAGAACCTTTAAATTTTGAAGACAAGCCAATCGAGAATTTATCTTCAATTGAAGAAAGAATATTAGCGATAATAGCCAACGATGTTCAAGATTCTCAAAATTCCGAAATTAATAAAACAGATGGAGTCCAAATTAATGATGTATTTGAAGAGGTAATGTAGCATATTTTACACTAAATTTATACAAGGTGTAACTAAAAGATGTACAGTAAATTAAACAACAGTTTCTGGGATCAAAAATAAGTCGATTCAAGCTATCTTGCTAACATAAAGAATTAATAGTAAAAATGTTGCAGAGTGTTAAAATGTTTTATTTTTCATGTACTATCTGATATTTTTTAAATATTATTATGCTTTTTAAATTTTACATCAAATTTAATTAACAATATATTTTTTTAAACGACAGTAAAGAAACTTTTCACATTCATTTTATAAATTTGAAACAAACTTTTTAGGATATAACTACAATAAAAGAAGAAATAAATATTGAGGAACATAATGTGAATCAAGCAGTTCAGGAATTTATTGAAATTCGTATAGAACGAGAGACCAATCACCCTGAAGAACACGAAGGAAAGCGCGTCAATTCAAGCGATTTTGAAATTAAAACCAAGGAAGACTATTACAAACAAAAATTAATCCTACTTCGAGATGACGTTCGTGCTAAAACCCGCATTGCTATAGCCTTAGAAACTATAGCAGGAAAACTAAAATAATATTTATTAATGTTTTGAAATATAAAAGTAAAACAATTTTCAACCTATTCGTCTTTTTCTATATGGTCTTTAATAACCGTGAACTCTAAAATAATTTCGTGCTATAAAAAATATACAGAGTATTATACGAATAACACCCTCATAATTTTAACAGGTGATTAACTCTGCAAATGGGAAAAAAATGCCTTACGTCTTATCTTCATCCTTATCTTAGCCGGTTATAGAACGCTAGGGTTAGATTTGCCCTCTTGGGTTTATTCTATTCCCCTGCTTTCCCCGTATTCAGGTACTTTCTTTGGAATAGTCCTGTGCCTTTGGTTAGTTTTACCAAGTTCTCTACCAAGTAATACTGTGGCAGTTTTTCCGGTTCTAGGCCGAAAAGGGTGTAACACCGCTTAGCAAGAGCTTTACATTCGAAGATCACATGGTATGGTTTCTTCCTCTTGTATGCAAAGTTTACACGTGTTGAGATCATTGTGTAGTCCCATCACATGAAGGTGTTTCAGCGGGCAACGTTCCGTTAGTAATCCCACAATGGTGTCGAGCAGAGGTTTTGCTTATCCCAAATACAGGTTCTTGTTCTGGAAATGGTAGTATTGATCGTTTTACCTTATTGTGAGTTGCCATTTAGTATTCCAAGGTAGTGTCAAACCAGTTTTGATATGATTCTGTTTAAACGAAGGCATTTTAAAGCTGCTTGGCAATCTGAGAGAATTTGGATTGTTGGTTTTTTGTAATTTGTTCTTAAACTCTATCGTACAAACATTTTTTGTAATTTGTTCTTAAACTCTATCGTACAAACAATTTCAGCCTAAAATAAAGTGGTATGTTTTCCCAGTGAGACGATGATGTCTTATTTGGGTTTAACTTTATGTACGTCAGAGCCAGGCTCCCTTGTTAGTTTTACATCCATCCATATACCATAAAAAGTCCGCTAAGCAAGTATTTTTTTACTTCCTTATTTACCTCGTTTTAGTTGAAGTTGACCTGGAAGAGACCGTTGAAGGTTAGACAGAGTGTTGTATGATCTAATTCTATGTTTAATATAGCATCATTTACCTCATGTTATTTTGGTTACTTTATTATTAGAGATATCCAGCAGCTTGTATGTACTCATTCTGGTCTCCCCTTTTTAACTAGTACAAGGGGTTGAATGTTTAGAATGCTTTCCATAGAGGCTATCGGTGTACTTCTCAGTTCTCCTGTTATACAAAGGCGTGCCAGCCTCTATACTCCTGAGAAAGTATTGAGGGCAGTTTTCTGGTTTACTTTTGGCCACCAAGTAACCGAATAATTAGTGTCATGGGTCTTGTTATTACCGAATATAGCTAACGTATGTCCCTAAAGTTTTCGGGAAAAAAAATTATTTTTTTGGTTGGGAAATAAATTTAATTAAAAATTTACAATGGGAAGGTATTTCTAGAACTCTAAACGTTATTTGATATTTTTATAGAACATACATGGGTCCATGTTCTTCGATGGCACGTAGTTTTGGCCTTACATGGGCCATAAGCCTTTGGACCGTTGATAAATCGATCTCACGAATTTTTTGCAGTATTCTTCGTCTTAACTGCTCCTCATTTTGGGCTTCCCATCCATTATCATATACTTTTCGACTTAAAAGGGTTCAAAACTCTTCTATATGCCTCGCCTGAGGCACATTTGGAAGGTTGTCGCGCTTAGGAACAAAATTTATATTTTGAGCAGTTAACCAGTCTGTCGTTCTCCTGGCGTAATGGTACGATGCTAGATCGGGCCAAAATATCACTTCATTATTGGGATGATGAGTATGTATAAAGTTACGAAGTTTTGAAAGACATCTCTCAATGTAAATCTCCGCATTGATAGCTTCACCGCGAACACGTCCAACATGTGGCTGTGAAACACCAACTTCCGAAATGGCACACCACACTTAAATTTTGTCGGCAAATTTAACCTTGCTTTTAAATCTAACATGATCAGGAGCTTCTTCCGGATTACGTGTATTAAATCAATCGTTACCTCTCATTTCGTAATTTGATGAAGCAAAATATTTTTCATCATCCATAATGATAATTTTACCGGGAAAATGAATATGTCTCAAAGCACGGCAACATCTGGGAATTTTTTCCAACTAAGCTACTGTGTATTTAGGAGCCTTTCTTCTTTTATAATATTTTAAATTATTTCTAGAGAATGTTCTACTTACAGTCATCCGGCAAACATTGTATCTTCGGCCAACTTTGCGCAATGACTTTCCTAAGTTGTTTCCTAGACTTTCAACCAATCTTCGTTCTCGTGCACAACTTAAAACTTTTGGCCTCCCTCTTTTTGGCAAATTAATGCATGGTATGCCATTTTCATAGTCTTTAATAGTCTGGTAAATTGTGAAAGTAGAAATATTTTGGGCGCTGAAAATTCTAACAATATCGCGCTTAGGTACTTGTCCAACTAAATGATAAATACTTTGACGAATATTAAGCTTATACGACATCTTGACAAACAGTTAGTCAAAACTGACATTTAGCAACATACTTTGAGTTGTTTACCAACTTTGTTTCCAATGGCAACTTGATCCTAGGCTGTCTGAGATAAATAAATAAAAATAGATTTTTTCCGAAAACTTTAGGGACATACTTTAGTGGACCATTTTCGATTTTAATAATAATGTTTTCAAAATGCCCGTCTCCCTACAATGACATTTTACATTTCTTGGTCACTTTTTCTAAGTGTTGCTATCTAGGATTATACCCATATACTTATTTTACTTTCTTCGTTAATCTTCCTCCAAACTGGGTCAGAGTTCTAAGACCTCCAACCCTATTTTCCGAGTAAAGGTTATGAGTTGTGCCTTGTTAAGGTTTAACAAGAGGTTTTACCTAAAGCACCTCATTTCTGTCAGCCTTAGAGCTCTTTGCATGACTGCGAAAACTGTGGTTTGGTGTTTACCTCGGAAAATGATGTCTATGTCCTCGGCGTATCCTTCCTCTTAATTGTTCAATGTTCTCAGCAGTTTATCTACCACTAAGTTCCACAGTAGAGGAGAAAAGACTTCACCCTGTGGTCATCCCCTGTGGATATCCACCTGCATGGTTTCACTGAACATTTGTGCCTGTAATTGCCGCCTAACATATGTTTTATCCACCAGCGAATTTTATTCCATGATTGCAAGTGGCAGCTACCATTGTTTTCTTGGCTACTTAGTCGCTCCTCTATCTTGGTTACAAGATGATGCAAAACAGACTCATTAGATTTTCCTACCTAATAGGCATAATATGGTTTGTATGAAATGGCTTTTCTACCAGAGTGGTATTTTCGGACATGCTGATCAATCAGTTTTTCCATTCCTTACAATTGAAATACCGTCAGAGTTATTGGTTTGTAGGCCTTTACCACGGCATATGTTAGAAGCACTGATTTAGGTATAAAAACCAATCTGCTTTATTTAGGCCTTTACCACGGCATATGTTAGAAGCACTGATTTAGGTATAAAAACCAATCTGCTTTATTTATGTTTCATGCACCAAACCTACCCCGTATAGTAGAGCCACAAATATGCGGGGCCAGTGATTATATTGCCTGTTGCAAAAGCATAATGTGGCACTGGTAATTTGTATGGGTTGAAGGTACGTATGGACCATGTTACTTTCTCTGTTGTGACTTCTCATTTTGTTGTTTCGTACTCTTTGCTGGATACTATTTTTCGAGAGTTCCAGTTCGTCTCCCTACAATGACATTTTACATTTCTTGGTCACTTTTTCTAAGTGTTGCTATCTAGGATTATACCCATATACTTATTTTGCTGCATTTAGGTTTGTTCTACAATCAGGGAAATGAGTTTTGAGAAGTAATTCTAATGTTTCTATTCCAGTTTTAGTTTATTGTTACGTTTTATAAAAAATGTTACTTTTACAAAGTTACGTTATAAAAACATATTTTGCACCAGATGATACGTTAAGTTTCTAACCCTTACCTGGGTCTCATTGTGAAAATCCTTATAATAAGAATTCTTACAAGCCTCAGGCCTAGCTCAGATCAAAATAGGTCAGTGGGATTCGTTTAGAATTTACCTTCAAGTCAATGACAAGGTCTTTAATTAAAAGGACTTAAAAGAATTCAATTAATTTAATTTGGGCGCCATACCTTTAGATGTACAATAAAAGTAAATTTGTCATTAGCATGTCAGTTGAAAGTAAGGAAAAATAAAGAACTTAAATTTCAAAACAATTAATCGGCTTTAATTTCAGATTGAATTGATGAATGATATTACAATAAAAAGAAAGTGAAATTTATTGATTTTAACAAATTTTACGGTTTACGTTATTTGACTGATAATGAGTTTAAAATTAAAATTGACTAGTATAACTATGACTCAAAAATTGTGTGTGTGGTCCTGGCCGACACTTATCTTGTGTTTCTAGATTTCAACGGTCGAACTGGTCCGTGTCGCTGTCTTAATGGTAGCTCAGCCTACGATGACTTCCTAATATTCTGCAGTTCTAGATGTAACTCAGCTTACAATGACCTTAGACATTCTGCAGTTCTAGATGTAACTCAGCTTACAATGACTTTAGACATTCTGCAGTTCTTAGTTATAAAGGCTAATTCCTTAGTCGTTACAGAGCCAGTTCCTTAATTTTAAGAAAGAAAAAACGTGTCAGTTACAACAAAAAAAACGTATCTTTCCATTGCTTCATAAAAAAACAAAACAGGTGGTCAGCCATAAAAGCTTACTATTTAAATTGAACATTTCAAGTTTACAACAATACTAGAGATTTGCAATAGTATTTAAATTAAAATACATGAAGAATGGAAATATTTTTTTAAATAACTGAGAAAAAAATATATAAAATTAATGGCAGCCATTTTGTACATTACATGTGGTTCTCATATTACGCGGAAATCTCGAAAATAAATTAAAGAAATTAGTCACAAATAATTTCACCACATAATAAAATTAATTTCTACCATTCATTATATATAAAAAAAATGATTTGGTTACCTTAACAAAGCACTAAACAAAGCACTAAATTAAACCAACTGATTCATTCCGCTGCCTAATTGA